ATCTCTTCATTTGATGTTCTAGGGTTTCAGGATTGTTGATTCTCTGTTTGGCTTAGTTTTTCGGATCTTTGTTGTGGAGGGACGGCGTGGTGCTTCTGCTTAGACCGCCATCTTGCCGGAGTGCTCTGTAAGTCATTATCTTTTTGGGTGTAAAATAAAGTGTCAAGAGTGAATGAAATTTCCTAGATGAGTTCTTTGACAATAACAGGATATTTATTCCCCAAGGGCAGATTAACATTCCTTTGACTTATATTAAAATAACACTTTTAAAAATATCTAAAGATTGTAATATGTACAGCATTGTGCTATACACTGAAACATAATGTCTTATATTTTATTGTAGTTATTATTATTGTAATAATAATAATGCCTTATATTTTATTGTCGTTATTATTAATGTTGATTATCATAGTAGAGTGTATGTGCCTAGCCCATTATATATGCAGGAAGTCGCAAAAATAGTACAGAGTCCCTTGTAGCCCTTCGCCCAGCATCCCCCAGTGGTGATATCATATCCAGCAGTAATACAATATCTAGATCTAGAAGTGGACATGGGCATAGCACTGTTAACTAGACTGTGTACCTTGTTCAGCTCCATCATTCTTCATGCACTCATTTGTGTGTGTCTGGTTTTCTGCAGTTTTGTCCCATGTGCAGATTCATCTAACTACCGCCCCTTTACTATTGTGAAGTGCTTTCACACTCTCATTAGATTGTCCCAGTCGTCCTGTGACGTGAAGACAGTTATTAGATGAAGATGTTAGGGTTAAGGTTAGCAGAGTGCTGTGCTGGTCAGGAGGGAGGCGAGGACCAGATGCCCTCTGATGCCCGTGCTCTTACCACCCTCCCATCATGCCTAGGCTCCCTGGTATCTTACACACAGTTCTCACATCACTATCTCATCTGTGATGTTAAGTCCTGCCCCCTGGCACGTTTTGCACTCTGTCTGTGCTGGAGAGACATACATGTGTACTGATGGACACAGGTCAGACGCTTGAGGCTGCAGGGTACCCAGGGTCTCAGCCCCATCACTTCATCCTGTGTGTGCTTGGAAAAAGCGGAGGCAGTGGATACTGTTTTGAAAAAGTATGACATACATTTTTCTGTTCTTCAAGGAAGACTGTGTTGCCTGGTATTTCTCAAATTTCAATACTTTATTTTTTCATAATTGGGCAGTGTTTTTAATATAGATCAAACATAAGCATTGCCTTTTCTTAACACTGTAACAAATTTCAATACTTTATTTATTCAACAAATGTTTTATTTGTGAAGTAACTTTTCTACATGAAGGACTATTGTAAGTGCTGTGACGTCTCAGTGGACAGATAGGTGAGGCTTTGCCCTCACAGAGCTGCCCTTCCTCACTGAGAGACCTCTAATACGAGAGGATTGAGGAGCAGAGGTAAATTAGCTGCCATCATTGGCCCTCCTGGAGCCAGCAACTCCCTGTGATTTAGAAGACTTCACTTATCTTAAAAGTCATTATGTTGTCCTAGCAAAATGAGTATATGGGATTCCCTGGAAAATGAAGGAACTTACACATAAGACTCAAGAAGCAGTAGATTAAACACACAGAAACCTATCTACCATATAGTAAATTGAAAAAAGCAGGCCACCAAACAATATATACCACATAAAAAAGTGTGTGTGTCAAGAAAAGACCAAATGTTAGCAGTGAACATCTCTTTGGTGTAATTATGGGTTATATTTATTTATTTTTTCCTGATCCATATTTTCTAAAATGTTATATAGTAACTATTATAACTTTTTATAGTCACATAAATTACTTAAAATAAATTTGTACTTTTTATTCAGACGTAGCTTTTATCTAACAAAGTAATTTTTAAATTTTATTCATTCATGCATGCATGCCTTCATTTAACCCCTGTAGATACTAAGTCATAGTCAATCAAATTCCAGTTCAATTCTATTCTGTTCCTCTTCTGTTCTGACACCACCTGCAACAAATGCAGCACTTCACCCCATGACTCTATCCACCAGAGCTAGGTCAGACCTCACAAGTTAAAGGGCACAGTCCTTCAGACTACCAAGTCTGCCCAAGACCTCAGATGCCAGCCACAAGCTTGGGGGTCCCTGGGCCCCCCTCACTTCCGACTTGCTAGCTCCCACTACTCCCTTTGGTTTGATAATTTGCTAGAATGACTCAGAAGAGTGCTATACTTACAGTTTTCTTATAGCAAAAAGGATGCAAATGAACAGACACATAGGGCAAGGTCTGGGAGGGGTTCCAACATGGAGCTTCCGTGTCCCCAAAAGGGACACACTGTCCCCCCATGTGCATCAGTGTCTTTCACCAACCAGGAAGCCCATGAAGCTTCTATGTTCAGAGCCTTTATTGCAGCTTCGTTATGTAGTAATGATTGATTGCATCATTGTCCATGTGGTTGAACTCAACCTCTGGCCCTCCCTCCACCTCTGAGGTCAGCTGATGTCACATAGTGAGTCTTTCTGGTTGGCCAGCCCCCACCCAAGAATCATCTCATTAGCATAAACCCCAGCTTGTGCTCTGAATGCATCTTAGATAACAAAGATACATCAGTCACTGGGGAGATTCCAAGGTTTTAGAGCTTATCTCTCAGGAATCAAGGAAGACCAAATTCTTTGGGTAAAGTTAATTGTAAACCCCACACAGACTATCTGCCAGGAACTGTTTTTGGTGCTAGCAGGACAGATGTGAATAAGGCAGTGCCTCTGGGGCTGAAGCAAGCCAAAGTGACCAGGCTGATGGTCTGGAGAGCCCAGATACACACGTTCAGCCCTGGCCACTGGTGGTCATTACTTTGATTTAATGATGGGATTTTGAAGACTAACATTGACATTTTATTTAAGCTCATCAATTAGTTATTTTAAGCTTTGCAATGATGCTGATGTGTAAGTAATATCTAAAATTTAATTAAATCTTTCTCTGAATACTTGTCAAGTATTGCACTAAACAGGTGACATGCATTATCTTGGTTAATCTTCACAGTGACCCTATGAGGTACATTTCTGTTATGTTTCAAAGATGAGAAAACTAAAGCTCAAACTCACAATTGGTCAAGTATGCAATTAAGCCAGCTGTTAATTTCAAATCTTTGTGTCCTCATACCTTTTATAAGACACGTATCAAACAGATCTATTTTTAAAATTCCAAATACTCCCCTCTGAATGCCTGTTAAAGGTTTTTAAATAGATATGGGATATGTACTAGATATGTTTGCACCAGTTTGTATTTTCAAATAAAGGTCTAATGGTATTGGTGAATTACAGCATTTTTACTTTAGATCCTAATGTGTCTTTGTCTCGAATATTTTACAGAGAGACCCGATAATTGCAAAACAGCTCTTTGTCAGCTTGTTTTCTGGAATTCTAAAAGAGATAGATAAATTTAAGACCATGTCTGAAAAAAACAGCATTACTCAAAAGTTGCTCCAGGACTTCAATCATTTTCTTAATACCACTTTCTATTTTTTCCCACCTTTTGTCTCCTGTATCCAGGTAAGAGTCTGCACATGCTCTTCATAAAATATGCATTGTTTATGTTTGCTTCACATGACTGTGTTATAATAACTTTGTTTAGCAAGTTCAAACTCTTGAGAATAACAGGATGTTTAACAGAGTAGATGCATGTCTGGGTTACTTCTTCCCAAATGGGTGGATTTAATTTATTTGTATTTTTTTCCATAAAAATTAATGCATGACAGAATAATCAGAAATCAAGCAGTACAGAAGTGTTTTATTTTGTAATAAGCTAATCTCTTCAGTGCTTTGATGAAGCCCTGCATTTTATTTAGTTGCTTTTCCTTATGTAGTATTTCACTACATTCTTTCCTGCCTCCTGACTGCCTTTAAGAGATGTTAATTTGTTCACATTGATGAAGAGAGTAAAATCACTGCCCTTATACAACTTACATTCTAGTGGGTGGTTGATAATAAACAGACGAATAAATATAAGACATAACCTCTGGTAGTAGTAAGTGTATAGAGCTTGAAGAACAGTGCTAAGATTAACAGGGTGGTACTATAGCAAGGACGGAGATGGCCTGAACCAGGGTGAGTGTGTGCCACTGTCTAAGATGGATAGGGTGCCCTTCCTGAGAAAGTGACATTCTGGGCAGAGAACTTCATGTAGGTCTATTTTCAGTTAAACATACTTCCTGGAAGATGAATTTTTTCATGAAAGCAATACTTTCTTGGCCATTAAATCATGAATCATTAGACCTTCCTCAGAAAATCTTTTGGATTCTTTTATCACTTTTATAACTGGTTACCTCCTTGATGTAATTACAAAATCGTATTCTTTAACATCATCAGTAACATCGACTTATACATGAATTGGGAAGTAATTCCTTGAGATGAAGTACTTAGTTTTCCTGTTGTATTTTTGATGTAGCATGAAAACGTAAGTACAGTTTCTTTACATATTTCCTCTATTCTTACTGTCTAATAATTTATAAATTAAAAAAAATCAAACCAGATGCAGTCAAGGTGACTCCGACTCATGGTGACCCCATGTGTGTCAGAGAAGAACTCTGCTCCATAAGGTTTCCAGTGGCTGATTTTTGGAAGTAGATCTCCAGGCCTTTCTTCCAAGGCGCCTATGGGTAGACTCAAACTGCCAGCCTTTCAGTTAGCAGCTGAGCACGTTAACCATTTACATCACCCAGGGACTCCCATAATTTATAAATACGATTCCTTTGTTGTTTTTCTCCTCTACATTAAGATAAAAAAGGTTTAAAGAGTTAATTCTTGCATCAGCCAATATTTCAGAACAAGTTTCTCTTTACATTATATTCTGAAGTGATTTTTAAAATCTTACTTCCTAGTATTGTCCCTGTATTTTTCCATTGTTGTTTGGGAGGATCGCTAACCGTTGTTAAGTAAACAGATACCCTCTACCCCTTCACGGCTCTCCCTGGGCCTTGCCAGTTGGCATTGCTTGTGGAAAGGGTATCTAGAGCATACACCAGTGGCTGTATTTGCACCACTGCTGTTAGGACTGTCTGCTTGGGGCTTATGTATGAAACTACTGTGTTTTTCTCTTTCCATGGTTTCCTGCTGCGTCCGCATAGCATTTACAGGCCTTATTCTAATTTTTTTTTTTTTAATAATATTTTACTGTATTTTCGGTGAAGGTTTACATAGCAGATTAAGTTTGCATTCAACATTTTCTACACAAATTGTTCAGTGACACTGATTACATTTGTCACAACGATTGAACATTCTCATTCTTTCTCTTCTGGTTGTTCCATTTCCATTAATTTCGTTTCCCTGACCCCTTATATTCTCATCTTTGTTTTAAAGTAATTGTTGACCATTTGGTCTCATATAGATGATTTTTTAAAGGAGCACAATACTCACAGGTGATATTTTGTGAGCCAGTCTTTTGTTTAGCTAAAAGGTGACCTCAGGGGCTAGTTTTAGTTCAAGGTTTAAAGAATATCTCAGGACAGTTATTTTGGGGAGTCATCTAGTCTTAACTGGTCCAGTAAGTCGTTCTTATTTATTTATTTATTTATTGATTTTAAGAATTTGAGGTTCTGTTCCACATTTTTCCCACATTTCAGGGTGCATCTATTGTGGCCCTGATTAGAATGGTTGATAGTGGTAGCTGGGTACCATCTAGCTCTTCTGGTCTCAAGGTAGATGAGGCCCTGGTTCATGTAGACTATTGGTTCTGTAGACTACTGTATTTTTACGCAAATAACACACACCTTCTATGTTTGTTTTCCGGGCACGCCCTCCCCCCCGCCGAGAGGTATTTTCGTAACTGCCACTATGCCAATTTTTTTTTACATATTGCTGTAAAATTAACATAGCACGCTTACAAAAATACTTCATGAGGGGAGGGCACAGTTAGCACACAAAGTAGAAGGGACATATTATTTGCATAAAAATACAGTAGTTTCTTCTTTGAGTCTTTTGTTTCCTTCTTTGTCTTTTGCTCTGGACAAGTAGCGACCAATTGTTATATCTTAGATGGATGCTTCCAAGCTTGTAAGACCCCGACACTACTCACCAAACTAGAATGTAGATCATTGTCTTTATGGACTATCTTACGCCAGTTGACTGACATGTTTTAGGAGACTATGGCCCTAATCTTTCAAACTACATACAGTGTTGCAGCACATAATTTGCTAATGTCGTTCTCAGATGTTTACTGGCAGATGTTGAGTTTTACGGTTTACTGTTCAAAACACTGCCATATAGATTTGGTTTTCTAAACTAAATTAGGGGGTTCAGTTGCTTGAAAACATGTACCCAAGCTGATCACTTTGCTAAAGTCGATAGGCAGATGGACAGATTCAGGAATCAGTGAGATCGTTTTTTTTGTTTTTTTTTTTTTCTTTAAATATGGAGAAAAAAAAGAAAAGGACCATACAGACAACTCTCACTAATTTTCTGACTAGAAACACCATCCTCATTCCCAGGGATAGTACAGATGATCAAGAACAAGTGGAGTTATTACCACACCTGACAAAATGCCAGTGTCATCCAACTCTGTTGTCAGAGGAAATTTTTATGATTCGTGTATTTTTTATGTATGTATGCATGTATTAAAATAATCTGTAAATTTATATGTAACGTTTCCAACCCCCAAAGACAAAAGTCATATTTATAAAGATACTGCTAATAAAAGGCAATAATAATGAAAACTTTTAAAAAAAAATGAGGTATTCGACCTATGTTAGAACTGACTTACGACAGAGTTGTTGAAACAGAAACTTGTCGTTAAGTTAGGGTCTACCTGTACTCATATATACATACCTATACACATATATCCTACATACATACATATATACCTGCACAAATATTTTTTGGTTGTTGTTACAGTTGTTTCAAAATTATATGTACCATAGCAATTACCACAGATATCTTAGTGACATCATTTACCTTCGTCAGACTATGCACACTTCACCCTCATTTGGTGTTATCTTTCCCATCACCAAAAATAACAAGTGTCTGCTATCTAGAGAATCCTTCCCGCTCGCTCCCCCATCCCTGATAACCACTAATGAACATTAGTTTTTGTATATTTATCTGTTCATGTCGTTTATAGAAGTGAGAACATACAATATTTGTTTTTTTCCAGTTGACTTGTTTTGCTCAACATAATGTCCTCCAGGTTCCTTTATGTTCCAGAATGTTTTGGGAATTCATTTTTCTCTGAGTAGTATTCTGTTTTATGTATGAACCACATTTTACTTATCCATTAGTCCACTGATGAGCACTTAGGTTGTTTCCATCCTTTTGCTATTGTGATGAATACGCCGCAGTGAAATTAGATGAGCACACATCTGTTCTATTAGACCTCTGGGGTACCCATATTTTTATGAAAATAATGTGTGCCTTCTACGTTTATTTGCCAACCATGCCGTACCCCCTGCTAGGTATTTTCTAAGTGTCACTGTGCCAGTTTCTTTTTACATGTTGCTATAAAAAAATTAGCATAGTGCACTTTTATGAAAATACTTCACAGGGGGAGGGCACGGTTGGCAAACAAACATAGAAGATGCGCATTATTTGTGTAAAAATACGATTTATACCTGGGAGTGGAATTACTGGGTCATATGGCATCTCTACCTCTAGTTTTTGAGGAATGCCAGACTGTTTTCCCCAATTGCTGTACCATTTTGCATTTCCACCAGCAATGGATAGGGTTCCAATTTCTCCACATTACCTCCAACACTTGTTATTTTCTGGGTTTTTTTTTTAATCTTAGCCATCATAGTGGGAATGAAATGGTATCTCATTGTGGTTTTGACTTGCATTTCTCTGATGGCTAATGACGTTGAGCATCTTTTCATGTGTCTGTTGGCATTTGAATATCCTCTGATGAAGTGTCTATTCACGTCCTTTGCCCATTTTTTTTTTTTTTTAAATAATATTTATTGTGTTTTTGGTGTTTTGCCTAGCTTTTGATTGGGTTATTTGCCTTTTTGTTGTTAAATTGTAGATGTTATCTGTGTATTTTAGATATTGATCTTATTGGTTATATTGTTCCCAACGATTTTTCCCAGTCTGTAGGTTGTCTCTTTACTCTTTTGATGAACGTAAGTATTTCACTTCTATGAGGTGCCAGTTATCTGTTTTTTCTGTTTCTTGTGCATTCGTTGTTGTGTTTGATAATCTATCATTAAACAAAATTCGGTCCAAAGCTTTGCTCCTATATTTTCTTCCAAGCAGTTTATGGTTTTAGATTAACATTTAGGTCCTTAATCCATTTTAAATTAGTTTTTGTGTATGGTTCACAGAGCTTTTTGTTCTAGCAAGGACAAATGACTGTTTCTTTAAGGGCGCTGCCCACCAGGATGTCCATTTCTCCTTTGCAGAGGGGTACAGTCTACTAGCCATTCTTCTGATGTGCTCTGATTGGCCAAGAAAGTGAATTTGGTGCCCTACGTTTATTCTATATGTAGTTTTGTTTCAACTTTGTATAAAATTTTGTTTTTCTTTACAAAAACACTTGTTGAAGGATACCTATGTTCAGTGTCCTATTATAAAAACCATGGACTATATGAAACAAAGACATTTCCTCTGCCCTTCAGGACCTTAAGACCTAATAGAGTGAGATAAAAGTTCAAACAAGGAATATTGTCATGAATTCCAATAAATGTTCAACATTTTAAAAGTTAAGCTTCATTACTTTTTCTCAATTTGGAATTTGTAAAAAGTGAAAACAGATGACTAAAGTTTAACTTTTGCTTAGCATATCAAGCTTTATAAAATAGAATGGTTCCCTAAACAGGATTGTACAGATAGCCAGTCTTCTTGAAAATAGACCCAAATCTCTCATTTAAATTATGAACACGTAGTTACATATATCCTAACAGTAGTCACTTATTCATTAAAACCATTTCGTGAAAGACTTCTGTTGGGCAAAAAGGATGAATGAATCTTAAGCTCCATGAAACAAAGGATAACACTGTGCTTCCACAGTGTCTAGAACCTAGAAGGCACTCGATAAATATTTATAGGATGGGTAAAACCAAAAAAACCAAACCCACTGCTGTCAAGTTGATTCCGATGTACAACGACCCTAGAGGATGGGTAGATTACTTGAAAATCAAAAATGTATTTGTTTTTTTAATTCTGTATTTCATACTAGGCTTAGTTCTTCAAATTAGGATGGTGTTCTCTCACAGTTTGACACCTCAACTAGGAAAGCTTTGCTGTGTTTTTAATTGAAGTAGAACTTTATTTTGCACTTCTTTTCCTGTGAAAAGTTCCTTCTAAGGGTTGCACAGTGGTTAAGCATTCAGCTGCTAACCAAAAGGTCGGCAGTTCGAACCCACTGGATTCTCCACAGGAGAAAGATATGGCAGTCTGCTTCTGTAAAAATTACAGCCTTGGAAACTCTATGGTGCAGTTCTGCTCTGTCCTGTAAGGTCTCTATGAGTGGAATCCACTTGATGGCAATGGGTTTGGTTTGGGTTTGAAAGGGTAGCTAACATTTTGTTTGTTTACTTTGTGTAATTAGAACTTTACTTGGCTTGGGTGTAACATATCAGTGTGTGGTGCGGCTCCTAGGGGAGGGGAGAGGCTGGTGTTAGGTGTGAGGAGGCCTGTCTTCTGTCACACAAACACATGCAGGTCTGCTTTAATGAAAATGCTGTCATGCTTTGTGTTTTGTTCTGGATATTGATTTGAGGTTTGTTTTTCATTAATATGTTGTATATATGACTTTCAAATTGAGAGTTACAAAGTAAAGGTCAGAATAATAATTCCTGAAATACTCTATTCAAATATTATTAAATAAGTTGGCCCCTGGGGATGAGAGGGGATAGAAAAAAAGAGATTGCATAGAATAACAGGGAGATGAGTATACCCACTTTTTTGATGATTGAAGTCTCTGTGTTTCAGCTGCTTTTCTCATCAATTAATTGGATAAATATTCCTGGAAACTGCATTTGTTTGGATATATAGAAATCTTCACATTTTGCTAGTGGTTTTGTTGCTTTCAGTTATTCCCTGGTTTGGAAGTGTAAAAATAAGGTCATTTCCTCCTTCAGGCAAATTAAATGCTGAGAAAAATTTGTTAAGAGAAACTGCTACTTAAACATCAAAGCTTTCTTTTATGTTTAGTAAAATAAATTATTCATTCGTGAAGATATGGTCCAAGTACCACAGGCTAAATAACTGCATGTGTTTGTGGTTTCCCAGGAAGTGAGTTGCCAACACCCAGACTTGCTCGGCCTTGACCCGGCCTTGGTGAGTGCTGGCTGCCTCGCCAGCCTGCAGCAGCCTGTCGGCATTCTGCTACTAGAGGAAGCTCTGCTCCACCTGGAGCCCCCAGAGCCTCTGGCCAAGCGAGCCCGGGGAGCACCCCGCCCCTCTCCTGAAGTCCTCAGATGGATTCAGCTTGCGAAGTAAGCCCTGTCATTACAGCACTCTGATAGATAACCACGAATTTGACCCATGTAATATAGAAAAGTGATTTGTGCTTGACTACTGGGTAGTGCAAGCAGTTTGTGCTTGACTATTAACTTAAAGGTTGGTGGTTCAAACTCACCCAGCGGCACCACAGAAGAAAGGCCTGGCAATCTGCTTCTGTAAAGATTGCAGCCAAGAAAACCCTATGGAGCAGTTCTATTCCGTAACACATGGGCTTGCCGTAAGTCGGAATCAACTCGACCGTAACCATCTTGGTTTGGTTTTAATATAGAAAAATCTGGGCTTCATTTTGGCAGCACATAAATCAGTAAAGTTGATAGTAACATTTCTGTGAAATTTCTTAAAAAGTCTTTCAGGCTGAGTTTAATTCCATGAATCAAGGAACATCTTGCTCAAGGAAGAGAACATTAATTAACCTGTTTTCCTTCAGTGTATGATCTTTTGAACTTAAGTCTAGTTTCTTTTCAAGTGTGACTGTAACGTAGAGTCCCTGATATTTTACATGTTTTTGCTGCACTGCTAAACTAAACAGAGGATGATTTGTTATTTTTAATGGAACTAAAAATTTTAGAAATAATTTATTCCAATTAGTTTTATTTGTTTATTTGGGAAAAAGAAATTCCATTTTGTAATTATGCCATTTAACATCGTGTCTGACTCTTCCTTTATTCATGGTTTTAATCATAGGAAAGCCAGTAGTTAATTTTGATGCAGGATATTTGATAAAGGTTGAAATTTAATTTGCACCTCTATTTTATAGTGCTGGTTTTTAAATCTTTAGTTTCTAGGAGGAAAGATAGTAAATATAAGGGTGGGAGTCCTTGCGCTTGTCACTGTTTTATAGCCTTTCTCATCTTTCTGTCTTAATTGAGCACTGCGCGTGTATAAGGCACTAGGCCGGACACTGACCTCAGACTCATAGAACTAACCATCCAATAGAAAGTACATCTACCTATGTACAGAACTAACCGTAGTAGGAAGTAGGAGGTGGTCAGACGCACAGATAAATGCCAGGCAGTTCAGAGAGCACATCTTGGTGACTCAGATATTTAGGTAAACAGTAACACCTTGTATATCTAATACTTTCAGGGAGTGAGAAACCAATATGAGATGTATTTACTGGGCATATGGAGCACACAACTTTTAAGGGCCTAAACTTTTCAAACTTTATTAAATACTTCCTCATACTTTTTTTTTATAATACTTTTGCATTCCTTGCAAACAGAGTACTGTGAATGTAACTTAGCCTGTCATAGTTTTGACCATCAGTTACAGTGTACATGACCCAGAGACCTTGGGACGAGTGTAGGTAGGGTGTCCATAGGCTGAGATCTTTTCTGAGTATGTGGAAAATGTCCATAGCTTTCATCTTCTCCTTGACTTTTGGGTTGGGAGCTATTATGCCACTGCTTCTACCTAACCACCTCTGCCGCTGATTTGATGCCTTCCATGCTGTATGCTCAGGGCAATAAGAGAGCCATGTTTATTAAATTTTTATCTAAATTTGGAATCAGTAAACTCTAGGGGAGAGCTTCTGAGGGCTCTTTTGATGTGAATATGTGAGTTTTAGTCCACAGAAAGGGAGCCAGACTGTGGAAGGGCCGAGGAGAAGTAGTCATTGGCGGGCTGGTCAACACAGTGTTCTTTTTTACTGAAGAGATGACATTTGCATTGAGAATTGAAAGATAGAAAAGAAATTTCCAGAGGGATGGAAACAAGCATGTATTAAACACCTACTTGGGAATATCTTAAAGGCGGAAGCTTAGTTCACAGGATCAAGCAAGGCTTTTGTTAAGATAAAGAGGTAAATGAATGCTGTAGCAGATATGAAGGCTATGAGGAAGTTACTTATCAATAGAATAGAGACAGCCTGTGCAACATGGGTTAAAATGTGGCATGAGTAGGGTCAGGATTATTTTTTTACTTGCTTCTGGGTTTCTGGCTAAATTGCAAATTCTAGGAATAGATAAGGATTCCAAATGGGTCAGCCAGAGATAAGTAGAGAGTTAATGTAATTAACTAATACTTAAGCTTCTTTAATGAAACAGTTTATACACATGAGAACCTTTGATATTTTCAGATTTCACTTTAAATGCACATTAGTAAAACCTAATGGTAACTTCAGATTTTTTCAGGGCTTCAGACTGGTTCAGTCATGGCCGACGAAGTGAAATTGGAATAGACCTGAATTTTTAAAATTTGGGTGATTCAGAACCACAGCCGGAAAAGGAAAAATTACAGGTTGAAGCCCTGGAATGGAGACTTGGAAGAGGTGTAGTGAGCCCTTTCAGGAGCCTGAGGCATGAGATTGGATTATTGCCAGAACTGAGGAGAGCGACACACATTCAAAGTGGCATAGTCAGCCACCGTCTTTGAGCAGGGCACTGATGTTTCTACCTCTGCACAAAATCCAACCAAATCTATGCAACACATACGCTACCCTTATTTTCTAAGAGGGAGATTAAGTTTCTAATAGGGCTTCGACCCATAATTTTTCCCGTTCCAGTTGTAGTTCTGGTTCACCCAAATTTTAAAAATTCATGTCTGTTCCAGTATCACTTCCTCTGCCATAACTGAACCAGGAAGAACTGGTTCAAAGCCCTGAAATTTTTAAATTTTATATTTTTAGCAAAGTATAATGACATTTTATGTATTTTTAGTTAGTATAATGTGAAACATCTTGATTTAATATCATTTCATTAAAATAATTAATTATAGAATATTGGGACCTTCATTGATTTGGACCTTTCTTTTTCATTTGTTTTATAGATTGTATAGATCAATTGGAGAATATGATGTCCTCCGTGGTATTTTTAGCAGTGAAATAGGAACAAAGCAAGTTACTCAGGATGCATTATTAGCAGAAGCCAGAAATGATTATTCTGAAGCTGCTAAGCAATATAATGAGGTAAAATTGATCTCTAACAAATGTATCAGTCACGTAAACATTTTTGTTCTCTGGGTGAAAAAACTGTTAGCTTTAGAATTTAGAGCTTTATAATACTTCAGTTTTATATTCATTCCTGAAATTTTTATCAAGGTTAATCACAGAGACTGGTTTCATAATAACCAAATGTGAAATAATTATTGTTGTATCTCTTACTATTTTTAAGAAAACATCATTGAATTAAAGAGAAAGCATTTCATAAATTTTCAAGTACCTGAAAACTGTAAGGTGTTATTTCTGTATCTGCTATTATTATTCATAATTTCTATTTGAGTAGATTGTTTTCCTTCAATAAGTAAAAGGTCTGTAGAGAAGTAAAGAAGAACTGGTTTTGGGAGGATGACGGTAAGTTGAGTATTGGACTTTCTGTGTTTTACGGTGCCAGGGTCTCCCAGGGCAGATACCTGCCCAGCAAGTGGTACAAATCCAGGTTAGTGTTCAGAGTCGAGTGGGCATCTGGATTTTACACCTTCTCAATTTCTGCAAATATCCTGTGTTCTAACTGTCATTGCAAGAACTTGCTAAATAGTAACCCACAGTCTTGACTTGAATGCAATCATGGTCACTTAAGTCTCAGTCTGATTAGTTGGCTTCACTGGTAAGTTTCTCACAGGAATGGCTTCCTTTCAGTTAGGGCTGTTACATTCAGTTGATACTAGAGGTTTCCTTTCTTCCTTTCAGTGTTACTCTGAATATTTTCTCTTTTCTCTCACCTTTTTCACAAATCTGAAAATGATTGTCCTTAGTGTGAATGTTACGTACCTCCTATTCCCCATTTTGTCATTTGTATTCTTTCCAACGTTGTAAAATAATTCTAATTTTTCTCTGCCAGGCTCTCAATAAACACGACTGGTTGGATGGTGAGCCCATGGAAGCAGAAAAGGATTTTTGGGAACTAGCCTCCCTGGACTGCTATAACCACCTCACTGAGTGGCAATCGTTGGCGTACTGCTCTACAGCCAGTGTGGACAGCAAGCACCCTCCAGATCTAAATAAAATGTGGAGTGAGTCATTTTATCAGGTTGGTAGGATTGTTTTGAGGTCACTGAAATAAATATTTTTAATGGTCAAGAATTTTCTAAGGAATACAGTTGTTTAAAACTTTTCAAAAGCAAGGCCATCAGGATGTTTATATACTCTGACTCTCCCACAAAACTCCACAGTATTTTTACATCTTTTTGTTGTCGTTAATTACTTTTAGGTAATCATTTCAAAATAAATGGTATGTATTTTAAAACAAATATTAACATCCCTGGAGTGACAACATGGAAGAAAACTTCCTCTTGTCTCTTATGTTACAAAAAAATTACACTGGGTACCTTGGTTGTCCCCTGTGCACCCCGACCCCCAGAGTGAGACAACGCAGGTCCCCTACACGGCTGCAATTTTGACTGCACTTGCGAAGTTCCTTACTTTGTGTATAACATCTAAGTGTCCTTTAAGCTAAAAGTTTTTCTTTTTTATATAGAATGTGTTCCTTTATATTTTGTGGTTACTATTTTAAATGAACTGGCATAAAACATTGTAGTTTTATTAAACCATTGTTTTAGACTTGAAACAGTAAACACCACTTTGGCCCTAAAACTTCAACTGTAAATTATACCAAAGAATATTGCAGTAAAAAAATAATTACATATTATAAAATGGGCTTTCTGAAGTTACAAGTAGATGTTGATGTTTTGTAGGAGACATATTTACCTTACATGATCCGCAGCAAGCTGAAGTTACTGCTTCATGGAGAAGACGACCAGTCCCTGCTGACGTTTGTTGACAACTCTGTGAGCAAGGAGCTCCAGAAGGTTCTCCTGGAGCTTCACTATAGTCAGGAATTGAGTCTCCTTTACCTCCTACAAGACGATTTTGACAGAGCCAAGTATTGTATTGAAAATGGCATTCATATCTTTATGCAGGTAGTACAGATGTATCTAAAATGTGCCACTTTTTATAATACTTCATTAAAGTCATAAAATTCATGAAAAAAATTAAGAAGCAAAATTTTTAATTTCATACCACTCTTCTGCTATTTATTCTTCCATTTTCTTCTAATATTTCTCTTTACTCTGTTCTTTGCCTTAATGCTTTGTTTCATCTTTTCTTTTTCTGTTTTTTGGAGCCTTGGTGGCACAGTGGTTAAGCGTTCGCCTGCTAACTAAAAGGTCAGCAGTTTGAATCCACTAACCACTCCTTGGAAATCCTCTGGGGCAGTTCTCCTCTGCCCCATAGGGTCACTGTGAGATGGAATTGACTTGACAGCAACAGATTTTGCTCTAGCCAGGATGGGACCAGTAGATGTATCTTAGATGGCTGCTTGCAGGCTTTTAAAATCCCCGATACTACTCACCACAGTCAGATGTAGAACATTTTTTTTATGAACTATGTTGTGCCGATTGAGCTAGATGTCCCCTAAGACCATGGTCCCCAGCCATCAGCCCAGTAACTTGGTGCCTCAGGGAGTTTGAATATATCTGTGAAGCTTCCATGACTTTGCCTTGGTCAAGTTGTGCTGACTTCTTCAGTTTGGCATACTGACATATCTTTCACCAAAGCTACCATTCATCTACTGTCATGGCTTGAATTGTGTCCCCCAGAAATACCTGTCAACTTGGCTAGGTCATGATTCCCAGTATTGTATAATTGTGTACCATTTTGTAATCTGATATGATTACCTTAGGTGTTGTAAATTCAATCACTATGATGTAATAAGATGGATTAGCGGCAGTTATACTGATGAGGTCTACAAGACTGGATAGTGTCTTAAGCCAATCTCTTTTGAGATATAAGAGAGAAGCGAGCAGAGACACATGGGAACCTCATGCCACCAAGAAAGCAGTGCCGGGAGTAGAGCACGTCCTTTGGACCTGAGGTTCCTGCGCAGAGAAGCTCCCAGACCAGAGGAAGACTGATGACATGGACCTTCCTCCAGAGCTGACGGAAAAAGTGTTCGCCTGGAGCTGATGCTCTGAATTTGGACTTGTAGCCTACTGGACTGTGAGAGAATAAACTTCTCTTTGTTAAAACCATCCACTTGCAGTATTTCTGTTACAGCAGCACTAGATGACTAAGACATCTACTATCTAGGTTGTATTTTTCCCTCCCCAGCCCTTCCCTCCCTCGTAACCATCAAAGATTGTTTCTTTCTGTGTGTAATCCTTTTCATCAGTTTTTATAATAGTGGTCTCATTCAGTATTTTTCCTTTTGTGATTGACTTATTTCACTCAGCATAGTGCCCTCCAGATTCATCCATGTTTTGAGATGTTTTGCAGATTCATCATTGTTCTTTGTCGTTGTTTAGTATTCCATTGTGTGGATGACCATAGTTTTTTAATTTATTCATCTGTTGATGGACACTTAAGTTGTTTCCATCTTTTTGCTATTGGGAATAATGCTGCAATGAAGATGGGTGTGCAAATGTCTATTCTTGTGATGGCTGATTTCTCTGGGGTATTTTCCTAGGAATGGGGTTGCTGGATTGGATGTTATTTCTATTTCTAGCTTTTTAAGGAAGCGCCATATCATTCTCCAAAATAATTGTACCATTTTGCATTCCCACCAGCAGTGCATAAGAGTTCCAGTCTCCCCACAGCCTGTCCAACATTTATTATTTTCTGTTTTGTTTTGTTTTTTTGTTAGTGCCAGTAATTTCGGAGTGAGATGGTATCTCATTGTGGTTTGATTTGCATTTCTCTCATGGCTAGTGATTGTGAGCATTTCCTCATGTGTCTGTTAGCCGCCTATAGATTTTAGAGATTAGACGTTTGTCGGGTATGTCACAGCCAAAAATTTTTCCCAGTCTGTAGGTTTAATTTTTAGAAGATTCCGGTTACCTAGTTTACCTTCTGGTGTTTGTGTATTGTTAGTTATGGTTTGTATCCTATTTATGTCCTGTATTAGGGCCCTTTCATTGACCCTTTTTTTTTCTTCCATGATCTTTATAGTTTCTGGTTTTATATTTAGGTCTTTGGAAACCCTGGTGGCGTAGTAGTTAAGAACTATGGTTGCTAACCAAAAGGTTGGCAGTTCAAACCCATCAGGTGCTCCTTGAAAACTCTATGGGGCAGTTCTACTCTGTCCTATAGGGTCGTTATGAGTTTGAATCAACTCAGTGGCAACAGGTTTGGTTTTTGGTTTTTATTTAGGTCTTTGATCCGTTTTGAATTAGTTTTTGTATGGCGTGAGGTATGAGTCCTGTTTATTTTTTTTTACAGATGGACATCTAGTTTAGCCAGGACCGTTTGTTAAAAAGACTGTCCTTTCCCCATTTAATGGACTTTAGGCCTTTGTCGAAGATGAGGTGACTGTAGGTGGATGAGGTTACATATGGGTTCTCGATTCTGTTCCATTGGTCATTGTGTCTGTTGTTGTACCAGTACCAGGCTGTTTTGACCATCATAGCTGTATAGTAGTTTCAGAGTTCAGGTAGTGCGAGGCCTCCTGCTTTGTTCTTTTTCAGTTATGCTTTACTTATCCAAGGCCTCTTTCATTTCATATAAAATTAATGATTAGTTTTTCCATCTCATTGAGGAATGCTGTTGGTATTTGCATTGGGATTGCATTGTATTTGTAGATTGCTTTGGGTAGAATTGACATTTTCACAATGTTGAGTCTGCCTATCCATGAGCATGGTGTGTTTTTCCATTTATGTAGATCTCTTTTGGTTTCCTGCATAAATGTTTTGTAGTTTTCTTTTATATCTCTTTTATGTCCCTGGCTAGATTTATTCCTCAGTATTTTATCTTTTTAGGGGCTATTATAAATGATACTGCTTTCCTGATTTCCTTTTTGTATTGTCTTTATTGATGTGTTGGAATCCAGTTGATTTTTGTATGTGATCTTGTATTCTGCTACTCTGCTGAATCTTTCTTTTAGTTTCAGTAGTTTTCTAGTGGAGTCTTTAGGGTTCTGTGTGTATAGTATCATATTATCTGCGAATAGGGACAGTTTTACTTCTTCCTTACCAATTTGGATGCCCTTTATTTCTTTTTCTTGACTTATTGCTCTAGCAAGGACTTCCAGCACAATGTTAAATAGGAACAGCGATAAAAGGCATTCTTGTCTTGTTCCCATTCTCAGGGGAAATGTTTTCAACCTCTTTCCAGTAAGAATGATACTGGCTGTTGGTTTTATATAGATGCCCTTTATTATGTTGGGGAATTTCCATTCTATTCCTGTCTTAACTGAGAGTTTTTATCAGGAATGGGTGTTGGACTTTATCAAATGCTTTTTCTGTGTCGATTGACATGATCATGTGATTTTTTTTTTTTTTTTATTTATGTGGTGGATTACGTTAATCAATTTTCTAATGTTGAACCATCATTACATACCTGGTATGAATCCCACTTAGTTGTGGCGTATTTTTTTTTTTTTAATATGATGCTAAATTCTATTGGCTAGAATTTTCTTGAGAACTTTTGCATCTGTAGTCATGAGAGATATTGGTCTGTGATTTTCTTTTTTATAGTGTTTTTACCTACTTTTGGTATCATGGTTATGCTGGCTTCATAGAATGAATTTGGAAGTATCCCTCTTCTGTGTCCTGAAATAGTTTTGAGTGGTACTGGTGTGAGCTCCTCTCTGAATGTTTGATAGAATTCTCCAGTTAAGGCACGTGTATGAGGATTTTTTGGTTGGGATTTTTTTATTACCTTTTCAGTCTCTTGTCTTGTTATAGGTCTGTTCAGATTTTCTACCTCAGTTTGTGTTAGTTTAGGTAGGTAGTGTTTTTCTAGAAATTTTTCCACTTTAGGTTTTCCAATTTGTTGGAGTACAGCTTTTCATGCTACTCTGTTACGATCCTTTTTATTTCAGTTGGGTCTGTTGTAGTGTCCCCCATTTCATTTCTTAGTTGGGTTATTTGCTTCTTCTCTGGTTTTACTTTTGTCAGTTTGGCCTGTGGTTTGTTGAGCTTGTTGATCCTTTCAAAGAACCAACTTTGGGTTTTGTTGACCCTTTGTATTGTTTTTTGATTCTCTTTTTCATTTATTTCTGCTCTAATCTTTGTTATTTCCTTTCTTCTGGTGCCTGTGAGCACCTTTTATTGTTCTCCTTCTGTTTCTTAGAGTTATAGGACTAACATTTTGATTTTGTCCCTTCTTTTTTGATGTGTGTGTCTGTTGCTGTAAATTGACCTCTGAGAACTACCTTTGCTGTGTCCTAGAGGTTTCGGTATGATGTGCTTTCATTCTCATTTGATTCTAGAGATTTTTTATTTCCATCTTTGATTTCTTCTATTACTCAGTGGTTTTTAAGCAAGCTGTTATTCAGTCTCCATGTTTTTTATTTTTCTTGTTATTTCTGTTATTTATTTCTTCTTTTATGGCATTGTGATCAGAGAAGATGCTTTGTATTTTTTCAATGTTTTGGATTTTGTTGAGGGTTGCTTTCTGGCCTATGATGTAGTCTATTCCGAAGAATGTTCCATGTGAGTTGGAAAAGAATGTATACTTTGCTGCTGTTGGGTGGAGTGTTTCATATATGTCTATGAAGTCAAGATGGTTGATTGTAGCCTTTAGATCTTCTGTATCTTTGCTGAGTTTCTTTTTAGATGTTTTGTCCTTTACCAACAGTGGTGTGTTGAAGTCTCGTACTGTTATTGTGGAACTGTCAATTTCTCTTTTAAGTGCTGTTAGAGTTTTTTCATGTGTTGTGGAGCCCCATCCTTGGGTGCATAGATATTTATTATAGTTATGTCCTCATGGTGGATTTTCCCTTTAATTATTACATAATGTCCTCCTGTTTGTCTTTTATGGTGGATAGTCCTTAAAGCCTGTTTTATCTGAGGTTAATATTGCCACTCCCGCTCTTTTGGTTGCTGTGTGCTTGATAATCTTTTTTCCGTTCTTTGATTTTTAATATATTTATGTCTTTGTGTCTAAATGTGTCTCTTGTGGGCAGCATATTGATGAGTCTTTT